TTATAGTGTAGTAGCATGTCTTATTTATGTACCAATATATTAGAGAGCCCAATGTAATTTTCTATTATGAATAGTCTCGGGTCAAAGGCAGCCACCTCCTTCCTTGGACAGTGCATATAACATTCTCCTTAAGGATGAGAGACAAAGGCAGAATAATCCTTCATCTCAATTCAATCCCGAGTCAGCTTCTTTCAATGCAACATCCCTTAACCATTCTCAGCCATTACAACCTCAGAAGCACTACTCTCAGAAAGTATCTTTTGATTCAAGTAGAGCAACTCAGTTTTGCAAATATTGTAAGAAGAGTGGTCATTTAATTGAAAAGTGCTATAAGTTGCATGGATTCCCACCTACTTTCAAGTTCACTAAAGGTAGGAAGATGGCTGCAAATGGTTGACATATCCTCTAGCACTGAGTCACATGCCTCTGCACCTCCTAATCAGAATGAGGGTGGCTCTCTGGTACCTGGACTTACTAAGGAGCAGTATGTTCAGCTCATGTCTATGTTGCAACACACTCATGTGTCTGAATTTCCTTCTTCTCAGACAAATCTTATGGCATCTGCAAATTTTGCTGGTAATGTTCCTTTGACTGCTTGTGTAGAAGTGTGTTACAGTGCATCTCTGTTAAGTAGGGTAGCTGAATATAGTTGGATTTTAGATTCTGGAGCCACACATCACTTGACTTCACACAAAGACCTTCTTTCTAACATTCAACCTCTAGTTATTCCTTATCTTGTTACCCTTGCCAATGGTTATAAGGTGAAAGTAAATTGCACAGGTTCTCTTAAACTGTTTGCTTTCACTTTGCATCATGTCCTTTATGTTCCCACTTTTCACTACAGTCTTATTTCTGTTTCTCAGTTACTCATTCAACTTCATGTCATGGTTCAATTTACTTCACTTTCATGTATCCTACAGGCCCCTTCACTGAAGAGTCCACTGGAAGTTGGTAAATTGGAGCATGGACTTTACAGGCTTCTGATGACTCCTTCTCAGTCTAGTAATTCTGCTTCACACTGCTACACTTCAGTATCTGATAGTTTACCTTCTGTTTCCAGTGCTGTTTCACATTGTAAATACCCATTTACTGTTTCTGATTCTTCCTCTATATGCATTCCATCTACCATGCATTGTAAAAATCATTCTGACATCAATAAAGAGGAAGTGTTATGGCATCAAAGACTTGGTCACATTCCTTTTGTTAACTAAGAGACATTTCTGGTATCCCTTATGTTTTCTCTTCAAAGCAATCATTTGTTTGTTCTATTTGTCCTATGGCTAGACAGTCCCGACTTCCTTTCCCTAATAGTAGCATTAAGTCATCCCATCCATTTCAACTGATTCATGTTGACACCTAGAGACCTTACTCTACTCCCACCTACATTGGCTTTAAATACTTTCTTACTGTAGTTGATTACTTCTTTAGAGCAACTTGGACACATCTTATGGGTTCTAAAAGCAATGCATTTCCCTTGCTTAAAGCATTCATTGCATTGGTCCAGACCCAATTTTCTACCAAAGTTCAATCTGTTAGCAGTGACAATGCACTAGAACTTGGTTCCAGTAATCTTGCTACTCAATGTTTTAGGGATCAGGGGATAATACATCAAACTAGTTGCTCACATACACCTCATCAGAATGGTGTAGTTGAAAGGAAGCATAAATATCTGCTTGAAACTTTTAGGGCCCTACTTTTTTTAGTCCAAATTACCTCTCAAATTTTTGGGGAAGTGTGTCCTCACTGCTACCTGTCTTATCAACAAGTTTCCTTCCAAGCTCCTCCAGAATAAATCTCCCTTTGAACTACTCTATGGTACTCCCCCTTCCTATTCACACATCAGAACATTTGGTTGTCTCTGTTTTCATACTATTCCCAAATGTCATAGGAATAAGTTGCAAGCTAGGGCTGAACCTTGTGTCTTCCGTGGGTACCCTCTTGGTAAGAAAGGCTACGAGTTGTTTAACCTTTCTACTAGGCAAGTCTTTGTTTCCAGGGATGTCATATTCCATGAACACCTCTTTCCTTTTGATGCTTCTACACTTTCCTCTCTTGGTCCTTCACCTCGTATTTCCTCTTCTCATGTTGACTTCTCTAATTCCACTGATTTAGTCTCCTCTCCTTCTAATTCTTCCCCTGCTCATTCTGATTCTCCAAGTTCTCCTTCTGATTCTATTCCTTCTCCTATTTCCTCTCCTTCTGCTTCTATTCTCTCTCTTATTTCCTCTACCTTAGTTGCTCCTCCTGTCCAGACACTTTCCCCCCTTATCCAACCTATTAGAAAATCTGCTAGAACTCATCAGCCTCCTGCCCATCTTGCAGACTTTGTCTGTGACCTTTCTCCCTCCTTGGCTAGCTCTAGTTCTTTATCCTCTATAGTACAATATTCTGCTAATAGTGCTGCCATTGAGCCACAATTCTATCATCAAGTTGTTTCAATTCCAGCTTTGCAATAAGTCATGAAAAAGGAGTTTGAGGCTCTTGAAGCCAACAATACTTAGATGATTGTTGAATTACCTGAAGGTAAAAAGCTTATTGGTTGCAAATGGGTATATAAAATCAAATATCGAGCTGATGGTGGTGTTGAGAAATATAAAGCTAGGTTAGTGGTAAGAGGAGATACTCAAGTAGAGGGAGTGGATTTTACTGAAACCTTTTCCCCTGCTATTAAATTTTCCACTGTTAAATGTCTAGTGGCTTTGGCAGTAAAGAAGAGGTGGTCTCTTTTGCAACTTGATGTGAATAATGTTTTCTTGCATGGTGATCTAGACGAGGAGGTCTACATGAAATTGCCTCTTGGTTTGTCTGTTTCTTCTTCTTCCTCCTCTCATTTGGTGTGCAAGCTTCAAAAATCTTTATATGGGCTTAGGCAGGCTTTTCGACAGTGATATGTTAATTTGTCTCTTGCCTTGTGATCCATGGGTTACACACATTCTTTGAATGACTATTCTCTATTTTTCAAAAAATCTGTTTCTTCTATTGTGTTGTTGGCTGTCTATGTTGATGATATTATTTTAACGGGTGATGATGAGGCTGAGATACTTGCTTTAAAAGCATTTTTGGATGGTCATTTTAAGATCAAGGACTTGGGTACCTTGAATTATTTCCTGGGCATTGAAGTGTCCTATTTCCCTTCTGGTTTACTTCTCCATCAACACAAGTTTATCTCTGATCTTCTTCTGGAGTATCACTGTTCTGAGGTTGCCCCTGTTGTCTCTCCTTTGGATCTCACTCAAAAACTTAAGGCTGGTGTTGGTGATCTGTTACCTAAACCTGAGCAGTTTCGGAGTTTGATTGGATTTTGTAAAGCTCAATTTCCTTACACACACCAGACCTGACTTGTGCTTTGCAGTCCAACACTTGAGCCAGTTTCTTCAATCTCCGAGGGTTTCTCATGTGGCTGCTGCTCTTCATCTTCTGAGGTATTTGAAAGGCACATCTGATATGGGGGTTTTCTTTGAAGACTCTTCTGATTTGTCTCTAACCACCTATTGTGATAGTGATTGGGCCGCTTGCCCTAACACACGAAGATCCATTACTGGTTTTAGCATTTTCTTGGGGGGTTCCCTCATTGGTTGGAAGTCTAAGAAGCAACCAATGGTTTCACTTTCTTCCGCAGAAGCCGAATACAAAGTTGTTAGTAAGGTTTTTGCAGAGCTTGCTTGGGTTGCCCGCTTGCTTGATGATCTGAATGTCTCTGTTGCTTCTCCTCGTGAGCACTTAATTTTTCATTATATTTGAATTCTTCTCACCTTCTACTATATAAATATTTTTAGAAATTTAATATATATTGTTTTAGCTTTGTTAGACTTTTTTTTATATATAGGGTAAAAACTTAAAAAAAAAATTAAAAGGTCAATTATTACTATTAATATTATTTTTTCCCCTTATTTTAACATAAAATATATTAAAAAACAGAAAAAAAAATTAAATATTTTTTTAAATTTCGGATGGGAATGAAAAATAGGAAAAAGTAAAAGTATGTGGAAATTGTTTTAAAAAAAAAAAGTAAAAGAAAGTGAAAAATTAAAAAAATAAAAACTAAAAGAATGTGGAAATTTAAAAAATAAAAAGTAAAAGAAAGTTGGAATTAAAAAATAAAAGTAAAGCTAGGTGAAAATTACAAAAAAAAAAAGTAAAAGAAAGTGAAAAATTAAAAAAATAAAAACTAAAAGAATGTGGAAATTTAAAAAATAAAAAGTAAAAGAAAGTTGGAATTAAAAAATAAAAGTAAAGCTAGGTGAAAATTACAAAAAAAAAAAGTAAAAGAAAGTGGAAATTAAAAAAAAGAAAAGTAAAATAAGTGGAAATTAAAAAAAGAAAAGTAAAATTAGTGAAAAATAAAAAAAATAAAAGCAAAAAAAGTTCGAAATTAAAAAAATAAAAGTAAAGGAAAGTGGGAAATTTATTTATTTATTTATTTTTAAAAAAATGGGAAGTGGGAATTATTTTTTAATTAAAAAATAATAAAATAATTAAAAACATTCTAAAAAATTCCGAATATTTTTTTTCTATAAATAGAAGTGAAAAATGAGATAAAAGGGAGAGAAAAAAGGGAGGAGGGAATTGAGAGAATTTGTTTTCTTCTTCTACGTTAATGGAATTTCTACTCGTATCATTCTTTCTTTTGAAAAATCCAGCAATTCATCAACCCGTTTAAAACTCGAAAATTCCCCAAATTCAAGCATAAAAACACCTTTGAAGTATCCTAATAAACGTAACAAGGTTCTTATTTAGTCTCTCCGTCTTCGTTGAGGTCTTCGGCGAGCTAGACTCCGGTCAGATTTCCTTTCCTCATTTCATTCGATTTTGTGAGAAGCTTTATCAAGATCCATTTCTTACTTTATCCTTGATTAATATATAAGTCTGGATTTTTTTTTATTATGATGGGTATTTGAGTAAAATTTTATGGTTCATACTTACTGATTATTTGAGCATGTTTCTTTTCCTGTTCATAGTTAGCATAAATTAGTTTGTCATTTTTTGTTGGTTTAAAGCTTTAGCAAGAACATGTTTATTTCTTTTTTAATCCATAAACAATAATAGTTTTCTTGTTCTTGGTTAGTTTTTTTTCCTTAAATTTTCTAGCTATTTTTGGTAGATTAGTTTTATAGAATATTTAGTTCCATGAATTAGTAAGACATGAAACTCTCACTGCCATTATTTGTTTAACATAATTTTAGAGAAGTAAAAATTCATGTTAAAGTAAATCAAGGTGCAAAAGGCAGTAATGTATAAAGGGAATTGGGCCATACGAACATTGATGAAATAATTTTAATGTTAAGGAAGAATGGGCCATGGAATTTTCTGACTTTAAAATTAGAAAGATCGGGCCTTTAGGAATTTTTTGGGTCGAATGGTTTAACTACTATGGCCCATGGTAATAAATTCATAAGCTAGCTCATATTTCTTCCACAATGAATAACTGCAAATACTTTTCATAACTTAGTAAAGTAATTCATTTTGTAAATAATTCTAGTAATTAAATTCCATATTTTTAGCTCTACACAAATACATTTCATAACTCTTGACTTTACAACAATTTTCAAATTAGTTTAGGAAAAATAATTCAAGGTACGCGTTCGGGCGACTTTGACTGAATAATCTTAATAATAATAAAAGTATTATCAATTGTGTTCATGCATGCGTGACATGATTTTTAATGCGCCAAACAAAATGAGTACACGTACGCGTAACTCGTTTCAAGATAATTTCATAATTACGAATAATCAAGCAATTAAAAGCGGTTTAAGGCAAAAGTGCATAAACTTTCCTAGAACATAAAATATCCAGAATTAGTTAAGCCAGGTATAATTATTAAAGCGACCGTGCTAGAACCGCTGAATTCGGAAATGCCTAACACCTTCTCCCGGGTTAACAGAATTCTTTACTCGGTTTTTTGTGTTCGCAGACCATAATTCAGAGTCAAATTTCCTTGATTTGGGATTTAAAATAAATGGTGACTCGGAACACCGTAATTCAATAATTTCGAGTGGCGACTCTTAAAAAAATTTCATTTCAATAATGTCACTTAAATTGGAAAAACTTTCTATTCCTAGGGGAAAAGGAGGTGTGACAGCTCTGGCGACTCTGCTGGGGAACAAGAACCTAGAATCTCTGGTTCAGGGTTCAGAATTCGAGTTTGTAATGTGATCTATACTTGGCTTTCTTGATTGCTGATATTACTATATTTGTGGGCCTAATGTGCTAATTGCCGCCCATTTACCGCTTTGATATTGTTTGAATTGTATAAACTCCCTTCTTACGCCTCCCTTCTGAGTCTTCTGAATTTATGGTGCACACGTGTGCGTGGCCCACTTTTCTGTTAGAGGTCATACCAAATAGAACGAGGCTGGATCAGTAACTAGGCCGGGTAGACTTTCGTGCTCCCGGTATGTTGCCCCCATCTCGGCTCGAGTTGTCCGCTTGGGTAAGCCAGGTCTAAAACACTCCCCCCAGAATTTTAAACCAAGAATAACATAGCCTCATGTCGGATTCCTAGTAGGAACGTTTGTTTGCATCACGTGCATTTGACTTTGGGGACTTAACACAGGGGTTGAGTCCGTCTAGGACAGGTGTACCTGAAAATTACAAGACTATCCTGATGCATCTTATGTGCTACATGTACATTATGTTTGATTCGGTTTGTGCATGTTGACCGGTTTCTAAAAAATAAAAATAAGAATTGAGAGAAAACCAGAAGGAAGAAAATAGGAGAGAAAATTTACCCGATTTTTTAAAAAAATCTCGCTATTTGATAAACCAAAAATCTTGTCAAAAGTTTACCCCAAAACGATTATTACAAAATAAGATTGAATTTTTCCAAAAAATAAAAGGTGTCATCCCATTCCTGAAATATTTACGAACTACGCAGGTCTGATTCTCACCGGATGTGAGATACGTAGGCAACCTTCATAGGGTCCGGACTCATTTTTTGCAAAAATAACCAAAAGAAAGAAATGTGTCTAGTGTTTTCTTTTATTTTTTCCAAATAAGCCAACCCATTTTCGGTTAATCCCGGGCCGTTTCTGTCGGAATAGCCTTAGAAGATCTTCAAAATTGTCGAAGGGCTGTACTCGCAAGAACGGACGTGTCTGTCAATTGGGCATCACTTTTACCATAATGTCCTTCCCTCGGTCCTAAAGTTTTTCTTAGAAGTATGAAGGGGCATAGTTGCAAAAATAACCACCCTTTCCTTGACCACAATTGCAAAAATAGCCACCCTCTCTTTGACTTTTCTTAAAATTAGGTTATTTACAAAAGATTATTTTGCAAAAAGAGTGCATTGGTTTTGTCTTTTGAACTAGCGTTAACCCTTACCTTAACCACCCACGGGTACAAAATGAGCACTGTTCAGAACGCACATTTGAAGGTTGTAGACGAAGCTCCACTTCAGCTTCAGATGTGGTGGTATGACTTGGGGAAAGATGGTTAGAAATGGGTCACTAAGCACCTAGGAGCCCTCACAGATATTATGAAAGTTAAACCACGAGACGATTTGAATGAGGCACTAATGACTTTTTGGGACCCCGTTCACAATGTCTTCTGCTTCTCCGATTTTGAGCTTACTCCCACTTTAGAAGAGATAGCTGGATATTCCGTGTTTGGCAGGGATTTGAGAAATCAGAAGCTCATATTCCCGAGGGCTCTCTCTGTACACCGATTCTTCGATCTTCTGAACATCAGTAAGCAAATCAGAAAGACCAACGTAGTCGAAGGGTGTTGTTCTTTCTACTTCATGTACTCCAGGTTCGGGCAGCCAAATGGATTTGAAATGCATGAAAAGGGCCTTAACAATAAGCAGAATAAGGACACATGGTAGATTCACTATCGTTTCGCCTTCATGGTGGCATTTCTGGGAATTATGGTCTTCCCAAACGAGGAGCGGACAATTGATACCCGCACAACCAGGGTTGTACAAGTCCTCACTACCAAAGAACATCACATTCTTGCCCTGATCATTCTATCAGACATTTATTGGGCATTGACTTTGTGTAAGTCCGGGGCAAAATTCTTCGAAGGGTGCAATATTTTGTTGCAAATGTGGTTGATTGAGCATCTCCGACATCACTCCAAGTTCATGAGCTATGGTCCGAGCACGTACAATTTTATTGTGAGCTACAAAGAAAGAGTAAAAGATTACAACTCTCCAGAAGGGGTGGAAGCCTAAATATCCCACCTAACATCTTTAAACGCAAGTCAAATTGAGTGGACTTTGGGATGGCTCCTTGTAAGAGAGGTGATGCACATGTCGGCCTTAAAAAATTATTTGCTGTTGTTGGGTTTGAGAAGTGTCCAGCCATATGTGCCACAGAAAATTCTAAGACAGTTAGGAAGGTACCAGATAGTGCCTGAGGATGAAGATTTGAGCGTGCAAGTGATTGAGCTACACCCTGAAGCCCCACTCCCCGAGGCTTTAATCCAGCAAATTTGGAATGGTTGTCGCTACTTGAAAGATGATACCCAGGTACCAGATACTGCGAGAGGTGAGGTAGATCCGGGTTATGCTAGGTGGTTTGAGAAGAGGTCATGTGTAAATGATGAGTCAGATCCCGAGCCCGAAAGGACCGCAAAAAAGGCCGCATGTTCAAGCCTTTAATGATAAGATCCATGAACGGTTAGCTTGGGGTGAAAAGGAAAAGGGATACCAAGCAATTATCCATGTTTTGGAAGAAAAGCTGAGGAACCTCCATTTTGAGAAAGACTTGCAAGCACAAGAAGCTGAACGGGAAAAGAAGAGTCTGATCCGCAAAAATAAAGCCCTTCGTGTCCAACTTCAACAGATGAACAAAGCCTCCAAGGTACCGGTCAGAAGTTGGAAAGACTAGAAAACCATTGCCAATTTGATGGGAAAGGTGCAAGATTATGACGCCATCTTGGCAAAATCTGAAAAGACATTGGACAAAGCCAAGGAAAAAATCGTATAGTTAAATGAAGAGGCCAAATCTAGAAAGGATCGCCAAGTAACAGAATTTCTCAGTTCAAGAGAGAGAGGGTCAATTGGGTACGTTTGGAAGCTCAACTTCAGGCACAGCTGAAAGAAATGAGAAGGTACTATAGAGACCACCAACATGCAAATTTTGATAGGGAGACGGTTCAGGCGACACTCGAGCAGGCTAGACTTAGAGCTCAGTTGGAGTCAACTTTAGATCGCGAGGGACACATAAGAGAGATAGCCATCACTCGCCAGCAGAAGTTACAAGATCGAGACCAGAACTTTCAGTACTTCAGAGAGCAAGTCCATGAGTGGACTTTGGGATCTTTAAACGCAAGTCAAATTGAGTGGACTTTGGAATGGCTCCCCGTAAGAGAGGTGATACACATGTCGACCTTAAAAAATTATTTGCTGCTGTTGGATTTGAGAAGTGTCCAGCCGTATGTGCCATAGAGAATTCTAAGACAGCTAGGAAGGTACCAGATAGTGCATGAGGATGAAGATTTGAGCGTGCAAGTGATTGAGCTACACCCTGAAGCCCCACTCCTGGAGGCTTTAATAAAGCAAATTTGGAATGGTTGTCGCTACTTGAAAGATGATACCCAGGTACCAGATACTGCGAGAGGTGAGCTAGATCCGAGTTATGCTAGGTGGTTTGAGAAGAGGTCCTATGTAAATGATGAGCCGGATCCCGAGCCCAAAAGGCCCGCAAAAAGGCCGCATGTTCAAGCCTTTAATGATAAGATCCACGAACGGTTAGCTTGGGGTGAAAAGGAAAAGGGATACCAAGCAATTATTCATGTTTTGGAAGAAAAGCTGAGAAACCTCCATTTTGAGAAAGACTTGCAAGCACAAGAAGCTGAAGGGGAAAAGAAGAGTCTAATCCGCAAAAATGAAGCCCTTCATGTCCAACTTCAACAGATGAACAAAGCCTCCAAGGTACCGGTCAGAAGTTGGAAAGACTAGAAATGCCAAGTTGATGGGAAAGGTGCAAGATTATGACGCCATCTTGGCAAAAACTAAAAAGGTGTTGGACAAAGCCAAGGAAAACATCGTACAGTTAAATGAGGAGGCCAAATCTAGAAAGGATCACCAAGTAACAGAATTTGAAGAAGAGAGGGCTCAGTTCAAGAGAGATAGGGTCCATTGGGTACGTTTGGAAGCTCAACTTCAGGCATAGTTGAGAGAAATGAGAAGGTACAATAGAGACCACCAACATGCAAATTTTGATAGGGAGAGGGCTCAGGTGACACTCGAGAAGGATAGACTTCGGGCTCAGTTGGAGTTAGCTTTAGATCGCGAGGGACACATAAGAGAGATAGCCACCACTCGCCAGCAGCAGTTACAAGATCGAGACCAGAACTTTCAGTACTTCAAGGGATGTGAACTGCCATGTGATGGATTATGAGAATTTTTTGGATCATGCACCTTCCTTTGACCATCATCTTGTAGCAGAGTTAGAGAGGATGTACCGTACATTGGGGGGTCAGCCAGGGCAAGCGCCACCATGAGCAGATGTTCCAGTGGTTGAAAGCAAAGATTGTGGAGTTTGAAACATAGTCGTAGTTGTTAAGACTTTTCAAACCCAACAATATTTTAGTTTGAGTCATCGTTGAGTTTTTTTTAATCATTGTATTTTATTCCTGTTAGAGTCTATTAAGTCATTTTCGATGTAATGTCCTTTCTGTCATTGTATTTGGAGTTGATTTGAAAAAAATAAATAAATAAAAAATGAAAAAAATCAAGACTATTACTATTTTTCCTGAACTACGTTATAATCTGATTCATGCGGCGACATGATACATAGGCAACCCCCAAAAGGTTCGATCAAAATATTTTTCAACGATTCTAAGATGAAGGATAAAAATGAGGCGCGAGTAAAAAGAAAAAAAAACGGAGAGAAGAAAATAAGAGCGTCAATAAGAAGCAACCTGGTAAGCCGGAATGAAACATGAAGCCTTCCAAAAGCATGTTAGAAATGGTGATGATGTTAAGAGCATGGCATGTTACGTGTGATTCATATCAATAAAATGTCTAACCTTAACACGTTTGTTGTCTCTTATATAGTAAGCTTAAGGTGGTTGGTTTGTGGTGAAACTGGCAACACATCATTACTTCACCAGATCAAAGGGAACAGTAGAAATGGATAACAGTGATGAAATCGAGTTGGTCAGTGACAATCCCCAGGGTCAGTCAGTTGAGCAAGAGTCGGAGGAAATTATAAAATTGAGACAATAACTGTCTGATGTATATCAAGCTTGGGTTTCCGGTTAGCCTCCACCCAGGGTCCCTCAGAGGGAACTTCCACTGTACCCCGTGCTACTCAACCACCGCTCCATGCAGTGAGCGATCACATTCTACCACCAGGGTATGTGCCAAACTACAGCCTCCATGCTGCCCCTGGTACCTCTAATATGCGACCTCCAGTTGCACCGGTCAGGAAAATTCCTCTCGCCGCATCTGGCGCACCGGTATATACATTCCCGCCACCACCTCCTGTGATGAGGCCATACAATAAGCCACCATCTCATGCTTATGATGGCCAATATTACTCTCCCAATTTCAGGGTCTCGGCTCCATACAATCAGACTCCTTAGGACGAGTCACCCGTGGAAAATGAAAAGCTTCCCAAGACGGTTGAGCCGGATGAGATGGCCAGGATAATGAAAAGTCTTGAACATAACATAAAGAACATACAAGGACTAGGTGGTCACAAAAGTGTTCCGTTCAGCAATTTATGCATGTTCCCTCACATCCATTTCCCACCAGGGTTAAAGACCCCAAAATTTGAGAAGTATGATGGACACGGCGACCCTATCGCACACTTGAAAAGGTATTGCAACCAGCTGAGGGGTGCAGGTGGAAAAGAAGAATTGTTAATGGCTTATTTTGGGGAAAGTCTTATGGGGGTAGCCTCTGAATGGTTCATTAACCAAGATATCTCTCACTAGCATGTATGCGATGATATGGCCCAGGCCTTCGTCAAACAATTCCAGTACAACATTGATATTGCACCAGATCGCAATTCCCTGTCCAATATGAAGAAAAAGCCAACAGAAAGCTCTAGGGAGTATGGCATCAACTGGAGGGAGCAAGTGGCTAGAGTTAAGCCACCCATGGATAATCATGAGTTGATCACTATTTTTCTAGAGGCTCAAGAGCCTGATTATTTCCAAAACATGATGTCTGCAATGGGTAGGCCTTTTGCAGAAGCAATCAAGATAGGGGAAATGGTGGAAATGGCCTCAAAACTGGCAGAATGTAAGTCAGACGGCTCTCAAAGCCACCACCCAAGAAATCCAAAATGGGTCGGGAAGTTTGGCAAATAGAAAGGAGAGAGATGAAGGGTCCATGATGACTTCAGGATCCAGGGAAATTCAAAAAGGGGCATCGCACCCTTATGTGCAAGTTCAACAGGGGCAATCCAGCTACCCTCAACATTATTATTCCCCGTCAATTCCTCAGTACTCTGTGGGCCCACCACAATATACAGTATTTAA